CCCAGCCTCTGAAAGCCACAGGGCGCCCCTGCTGCCGGGAGGGGCTGCCAGGCGCGGGCACAGACCCAGGGCGTCTATTTCAAAGGGAAGCGCCTCTTTCTGAGTGGAAAGCTGGCGCAGGGACGGCGGGAGGCGTTGACTGTAATAAAGCCACATTTCAGTCTGGCCAGCCGTTGTTTGAATGGCCGATTCGCCCTCCCCGGGGCTGTCTGGCGTAGGGAAAAGGGCAATGAAATCCCTTCCCCGGCCCCACTGGGACGCGCTAATACTCGCCAGCCCTTGAAGGGACCGGTTGACGGCGAGCACCTTCCTGTATATTGATCGCCGCTTCCAGGCTCCAGCTAGAGCCCCCCGCTTGGCGTTCACTGTATGATTAACGGCGTAACTGGGGGTGGGCCAGTGGGAGGGAAATACACAGCTCTGACTCCACGGGAGGAAAACAGTTCCCAGTGTTGCTGCCTTTAATTCAGTGGTAACGCAAGTTCTCGCCCCCTTTAAACAGCAGCAGCTTCTGCTTTCCCCGCGTTCGTTAGAATGGAGCCAGATCTTATTTCCAACCCTCAAGCCCCTTAGCTGCAGGGGAGCGGGTTTCAGGGGAAGGAGCAATTGGACGCGCACCCGGGGTTTAAAGTAGCACTGTTGACGAAGGTGGGTAACAAAAGGGGTTGAATGATTAGAATCGGAATTCGGTAGATAAACGAGTAACTCGCTTCAGTCACAGCGGGCTCTTTTACAAAGCATTATTTGTCCTGGAAGAGGCAAGTAAGCTCTTTCCCGGCTGGTTTAAAATGAAATCCGAGTGTGGGTGCTTAGTTAGTGGGCAGTCCCTGGCTACACTAGATGAGCCTCCTCACCGACCAACACAAAAGCAAACGATCATTTGAACTAGACACACTGAAAAGAAGGTAAGTTTTCAGTGACATTAAGTTATAGCCGATTTATCTGATGATCACTGTATGGAAGGATGTCAGGGAAATCCCAGTTATCGGACTCTGGGCGAAATATTTGTTACATCCTTACGTGTTCCATTTCTTTTTGGTCATTGCAAAGAGCTGAGATTTATTTTATAAAAGTAGGACTCAGCTTGGTCCTACAGTCAATATTGAACCTTAGTTACCGAAATCGGAATTCCATTACAACGCAGCGTTTCATTGTTATTTGCACCGCAGCGCAGGGTCTGGGATGCCCCGAAAGCTGCTATCACAGTGCCCTATATCAAGCGGAAACCTTGATGGGAGAGTGAAATTGATGAACGGTTTGCTCTGTTTCTTCTTTGCAGCACTCATTTTTCTAGGAAGCTGGAGGGAACTACTTCCATTAATATACACACTGACAGGGGACTCTTATTTTTTTTGAAAACAAGTAGTTCGTTTTGTCTAATAACCGGATGGACATTTAAATAAACGATGCATTATATCGACCTCTAAGCAAGGGGGAATTTTAAAGGACAAATAAGAACTTCGGTTCCATGTTTGCGTTTGGACCAAAGGTTCTACCTTGTGGGTACGTCTGAATAAATCACCGTCGTCTTTTTTTAGCCCATGATCCTGACATGCTTTGTGAAGCGCTTGGAAATCACGAGAGACGTTATAGAGAGTTGGAACTTACTGTTTATTTTATCCCCGTCGATTATAATTATGTGATAGAGGCAGGGCTACATGCTGTACATTACCGTAAAGGTACCTGGTAGAAATACAAAATTCGGAAGCTCTTGAGTATGTGAACACTTTATTGCAAAAGTGCCGTGTTTTTTTTTTAAACCACCTTAATACTAAACCACTGTATGCAGTGATGCTTAATACTGTGTTTGGAATTCTGTCGGAACACTTTTACATAGAATTCAAAGAATGAGCGGTCCCATCCCCCCAGGGGTTTATCTTTATTGAATCAAACTTAGAAAATAAACGAGGTTAATGTCATAGGGAACTACTTGGCATTTGTTAGAGTCATAGCTTTGCTCTCAACATCGAACAATGAAACGAAGACTATGGATCCCCTCAAACTTCATTTATTTCGATCATATTATCCTTGTAGATTTGGACTTACACATGGTACAGTATATTGCATTTCCCGGATAGCAGCACAACAGAAAGAAATGAGTATAATGCTAGAGCTGATTCCCAAAGAACAAATAATACGCGATTTTTTGGTGGTTGTTACATATGAAACCAAATAAAGATGTCCGTACATATATACAAGATTGAGCGAATTTTAAGTCCTTGGCTATGCAATCTGAATTTTCTTACACACGCCCACCCCTTTATACATTTTACAGAGATATACAATATGTCACACACGGTTTCGACTGGAGAAAACTTTTGCACAAGAGACCCCAGCTGTCGTCTTTTCGGAAGGACCACCACAGACCACCACAGTAAATACGTCATTCAATTAGTCTTCCTCCTGATTTTTCCCTGCCGGTGTCTAAGGAAATACCAACTCAACACACGTCGAGAAGACGACGAAAGCCATTACAGCATGACAAAGGTTATTTGTAGATAGTGCACATTGGTACATAAACAAATGCAATAATACTTTCGCTCCCTCCCCCCACTGTAACCCGTCTTCTGGCCGCTCCGTGCAGCCTAACTGTATTCATAGTCTGAGGAGTCCTCCTCCGAGGCCCCTACCAGGTCCCTGTGGTAAGACTCCAGGCTGTTTCCTTCCACCTCCCCTGCTGGATGGGGGGGTCTCCCTTTGCCTTTGCGCTCCTCCATTTTGATGGTGTCATAGAGCCCTTTGGGTCCCTCCTCCAGCAGGATGTTCCTCTCGGAGTGAGAGGCTTTCATGTGGCAGACGTTTCTGAGGAACAGGAGGACCGGGGCGTAGAGCACGTTGGCCAGCCCCATGCCCAGGTTCAGCTGCGGGAAGCCCAGCGTGTGCACGATCTGGCTGGCGACGATGGGCCCCAGGGCGTAGGCCACGGAGTAGGAAATATCCGCGATGGCATAGACGCTGCCGTAAACCGACACGTGGCGCACGTCCACGAGGAAGGCCAGGGTGGGCAGCAGGGCGGTGTCCACCAGGGCGATGCCGAAGCAGATGCCGCAGAGCGGGACGATGAGCTGCCCGAAGTTCCGGCAGGCGGGCACGGTGCAGGAGCTGGCCCCGATGATGGCCATGCCCAGAGCCGCATAGAACCACTGCAGGTGCGGGTACTGGGCGGCCAGCTTGATGGTGAGGTAGACGCCCAGCACGTGGGGGAAGAAGGCGGGGAGCCATGTGATCCCCATCTGCCACTCCGAGGCGCCCATGGTCTTCTTCATCCACGTGGCGATGGTGGGCTCCAGGAAGGCCAGCGGGATGTTGCACGTGGTGAGCGCGCCGGCCACCACGGCGATGTAGGGGTCCACCATGAGGCGGTGGATGGAGGTGCCCACGGGCATGTTGGCCCGCGCCCGGCCGCCGAAGGGCCGCATGACGGTGAGCAGCAGCAGGCCGTCCAGCAGGCAGATGCAGGCCAGCACCAGGAAGGGCGCCCGCCGGCCGGCGATGCAGTAGAGCACGCCGCCGAAGGGGGGCGCCACCAGGCTGCCGAAGGAGATGAAGGCCAGGGCGATGCCCAGGGCCCGGCTGCGCTCCGACTCCTCCGTGTACTTGTCGGCGATCATGGCGATGCCGGAGGTGTCGGCGAAGGCCGAGCCTAGCCCCTGCAGGCTGCGCGCCGCGAAGAGGGTGGCGTAGTTCTCGGCCAGGGCGAAGATGATGGTGGAAAGGAACATGACGGTCAGGCCGATCAGCAGCGGGATGTCGTAGCCCACGCGGTCGATGAAGGTGCCGCTCAGGGGGTTGACCAGCAGCTGCAGGATGGCCTTGGAGGCGAAGAGCACCCCGATCTTGATGTCCTCGTTCTCCGGGTGGTAGCCGCGCCCCAGCACCGACTTGGCCCAGTTGGCGTTGGCCCCGCTGGCGTTGGCCTCGCTCGAGAGGTTCTCGGTCGCCTTCCACATGGTGGAGATGTAGACCGGCATGATGGGCACGATCACCATGTAGAGCATGTTATCCAGGAAGAGGGCCACGCACACGATCACCAGGATCAGCCGCCGCTGCCGGTGCACGTCTTGCATGGCCGTGCCCAGCTGCTTGGTCTTCTCGCCCATGGCGTCCGACAGCTTCTCCACGGCGGACTTGGCCAGCCCGGCTCCCCCTTCGGTCGCCATCCTCCGATCCCGGGGCTCCGGCGCGCCCGGCCACGCAGCCGCTGCCCGCCTGAAACTTCAGCCTCTCCGCCCGTCCGCGGGGACTTCGCTATCTGTGCATGGGGGGTCGCGTGGGAGAATCGCGCCGAGGGCAGGGAGCTGGGACTGGCGGGCGGGCCACACGCTCGCAAGGGGTCTGCCGCTCTGCCTCGGCGGCACGGCTCCTTCCCGGGCCTCCTCGGCTCTTTCCCCGGCTGTGCTGTGCCCCCGGCTCCTCACATCCCCGGGCGCCTGTCACTGTAGCCGGCCGGAGGACTCGCTGCGGCCAGGCGTCCAGCCACGCGTGGGCAGCCGCTGCTCCTCTGCCGACCGACGGGCTTTGCCCGCTGCCTTCGCTTGCTCGCCGCTCACTGCCCGTGCGCAGCGACCATCCCCGCCGCGGCTGCCAGGCGGGTGGGAAGGACTGGCCATCAACAGCAGCATTAACACGCCCCGGCTCGCCAGGCCTCGGAGCGCCGCGAGCCTCCCGGGCTCAGCTCCAGCGCTCGGCAGCCAGCCCCAGCAAGCCCTGCCCCCAACCCAGCGCAGGCTCGCCGGCTCGGGCTGCCATTGGCGCAGACTGAGGGGCATGCTGCTCCAAGCTCACTCTTATTTTTTTTTCCTTTCTTCCAAAAAGCCCCCGTCTCCCCTCCCCGGCCCGGGCTGTGACGCACACTTCGCTTTGGCCCCCCAGTGGCTACTTGCCAGCTGCGTCTCTCAATGCTAATGCATCGCAAGGAGGAGCCGGAGCCAATCTCCGGCCAGCTGGTCCCTGAGCGTAGCCCCTTAGACGCGAGTTTTCCTCGGGCTCCGGGACAAGCGCGCTGCCCAGCCCAGCCCCGCCTCGCCCGGCCTGAAGCCCAGAGGGGGGTGAGGACGGAACCCACAGATAGAATCTGCAAGAGGAGAGCTGGGGGGCGGCACGTGGCAGGCGCAAGGCGGAGCCGGAGCCAATCTCCGGCCAGCTGGTCCCTGAGCGTAGCCCCTTAGACGCGAGTTTTCCTCGGGCTCCGGGACAAGCGCGCTGCCCAGCCCAGCCCCGCCTCGCCCGGCCTGAAGCCCAGAGGGGGGTGAGGACGGAACCCACAGATAGAATCTGCAAGAGGAGAGCTGGGGGGCGGCACGTGGCAGGCGCAAGGCGAACCCGATACCGCAGGGACGTGTTGGGTGCTCACGCGGGGGGCTACATCCGACCCTGCCCCCGC